ACAGGTAGGCTGAACTGAAGTAACACTAAAATACTCCAGTCTGCAACATGTCGTTATTAGCAGGATTATTCAGTGGAGTTTCTGTTTAAATCCTGTGAAGTTTATTCAAAAGATCAAACCTGTTAATGTGTGGGTTTTTATTAACCCGTTCATGGCCCGATCAGCTGTGTGTGACTCGGCCCACAGCCTTTCCATTTGCTAATGTATTGATTGAATGCATTTCACCCACTGAGGTATTAGTCACTGGGAGGATTTACAGCCATTGCTGGACTCAGCCCGGCTCGTTCCATGTGGAATTTTCGTGAACTCACTGAGAAGCTAAGGCTTTTTTTTTCACCAAAAAAAAAGTTAAAGAATTATGAAAAATATCTCTCAAATATTAGCCCTGCCGATATTGTCCAAATACGTAATTTCCGATTCCGTCAACCAATACCGATACATGCAGCTGTTTTCACATCACGTCTCCTGTGATTCTTATTGTGATACCGCACTAAAGGCATTCTACAAATTAGCATTGCGTGATTGGGTTATCGGAGGAAAAACCGCTAATATCGGGCTAGGGTTGTCGATAATTTGGGCGGTCGATATTATCAAACATCCCTAGTTGTAAGGCATTTATAAATCCAAATATTAGTCTTTTTCCAGTTATCATAATAACTATGGACTGATATATGTTTTACTACATCTGACCGATAGGATACTTCACTGAGCAAAGTAAACACATGTCCTTCATATCAATTCCTTACGTGAAACAACCGTTCTTCGGACGAGTCAAGTGCTGCTGCTGCTGCTGCTGCTGCTGCTGCGGCGACTGTTTCCTCTGAGCTTCAACTCTGAGCCCCAAGTCTGATTATAGACTCTGGGAAAAAAACAGTCAGGCATTTATCCAAGTCACTGATTATGTCATTTCAACATGCTGTAAACACTCAGACAGCCTAGACAGCTCTGAAGGGAGAATTATGAAGCCGGAGTGCAATGGAGGGCCGCATGAGAAGGAAATGAAAATGGAGGAGTGCTGTATGTGTGATTAAACTGCCTGCTCGCCGGCGAAAGGCCACGCTGGCGGAGCTCAGGCCTGAGATTTGGCCGTAATGAAAATGTGAAGGTGGAGGGGTTCGAACCTCCTGGAGTACACACTTACAAGAACACGTATGTATATATACGTATACCCCTGATACACGTGCAGCATGTAGCCCGGCTGAATGCTTTATACAAAAACATCTAATTAAACAGACTGCAGATACACTTTCTGTCGCAGAGCAGAGAAAACACCCCCGCCCCCCAGGTCTGGTAAATAAAAGATTCCGATCCACGTAGGCTGAGGAATGTTAACCAGTGTGAATGCTGCGATTGTTGTTGTTGCTCTTAGAAACAGACATGATTGTGAACACGGCGGCGGACGCATGCATATTCAGTTATACCTTTCACACAAAGGGACGGCGCGGCAGTCACCGGGCGTGGGAAAAGGCTCAGACCATAAAGGCTCTGTGCGGTGGAGGGTGGGTGTGTGTGGGTGTGTGGGGGGGGGGGGCAGTTCATGGCTAGACGCTCCAGCTGCACGGACTTCCATTCAGAAACAGGTTAGGGAGACCTCAGGGGTCAAGGTCAGGGGTGTGTGGGGGTTGGAGAGGGTATCAATACGGGGGGGGGAGGCGGGGATGTGTGTGTGTGTGTGTGTGCATGGCTCGCCGTCTGATTTTTATCTGATATTTTCACTCAGCTGCTAGTTTCTGCAGCGTTGGTTTATAATCTGAGTGGCTTCGTAGTGCCTTGAGTGGGGAACCCGTGAGAGAGTCAGACTTCAGGTCGATCCCCTGGTCAAAAAACCCTCCAGCCATATGCAGCTGAACCAAGTCAGACACTTTGACAGACACCCCCTTCCACACACACACACACACATTCGTACCCCCCTGTCTGTCTCAGTCTGATGCTTCCTGTAATTTACCGTCTGCTCAGAGTCTCGCCTCAACTGCTTTTTTTTTTTAATTAGCTCTACCTTTAGTTCTCATTTAAAACCCAACTCTGTGATTCAGTGCAGCCTCTAAGTCTCAGCCATTTGTTAATTTCTTTAGCGTTTGCCATGTGTCACATTTCCCTGATGAAGCCGCTTGTCAGTGGCGGTCATTTCCATGGGTGATATGTAGCTCCATCAATGCCATTTCATCAAACCGTACACTGTGGTAGGCTAGGTCCCAGAGCCTGCTGCATCTTACGCCACTTAGAAATAAACAGTGAAGGCCCTTTAAGAGGAGGAGCGACGGCAGGACAAGGG